AATTAGACCTCCTGGTATGCCCAATCGATTTTTAGTCAGTGCTCCTAAAATTACATCTAACATTTAAATAAAATTAAAAAGTCAATAAACATTTTAGTCATTAGAACCCCCACAGCTTCAGTGTATCCGTAAACTGAAGCCAGGAGAAGTTGTTACTCTTCATAACTACGTTTGCTAGAAGAGTAAAAAACAAGAAACTACCCTGACAGGACACTTACTCTTCCAAGCTAATAATAGCTGTGTGTATGTTAATGACGCCATATCGCAAAACATACATTTTAATCTCACTACCACTGCAGGCAACCATATCATTTACTGGCCTGCAAATAAAGTTTTTCAAGTAGCCCTTAAGTTCCAAATACCCTTTAATTAAACTAGTTTAGTATCTGATAGATTTCAGAATTTGTTTTCACTGTTACCAGAAATTCAGAAAATCTCTGAAGTACAAGGGCAAATTCACATGCTTCAAAATATATATCAAGTTAAAAAGTATGCCTTTCATACTGCTTATAGAGTGTCTATTTTATGTACTAAGTATAATATATTGTGCTTTATGACTAAGGCTGTACAACAACCCCATTATAATATTGCTATAAAAATGTTATTGCTTGTATTGTTATTAGTTAGCTTAAAATTATGTTATTGTTGTAAAAAACGTAATAATAGTAATACCTTTCATGTTCATGCTCATCATGCATTGTCATTACATCCAATCAAAACCCTTTAAGTTAAAGCATCTAAAGTAAAATCTGAATTCCAAGACTTAATGCAAATAAAAATTTAAAAATGTTTGTTGTATTAGTATACAAAAAAAAAAAGTTGTAAAAGCAAAAAAAAAACTGACAGGAAGGGGATGCAATGCATGACAGTTTGTTAGCAAAAGTCAGGCTAACTGTAACCCTAATAATGCAAGATTTGTAAAAGCGAGGAATGTGTAAAGCAAGTAAAAAAAACTGTGTAAGAAGTTGTTGCAACCTTGTGTAAATAATATAGAATGTAGACTAAGAGTCTACATTAGTAAGCAAAACAAAATATCAGAATAACCTATGTATAAACAAAATGCTGCTGTTGTTTTCCATGCTGTATCTCTTAATCACACCTTTAGTTTTGAGAACCTCCTTCCAGACCTTGGGTCATAGTTTACGGGGCTCTTTCAAACAATTGTTAAATGGATTCTTTTCTTTCTATGTGTTATTTGGACAATAATACAATGTGCCAAATGCCTGTGTAATGCTATAATCAAAAG